GCCATCGAAGAAGCTCGGTCCTGATTCTACGGGCTGACCGCTGGCTGGTATAGCCCACCTGCTGTAGCAGGTATCACGCCTGCTGGTGGGTGCAGCTCCCGCATGCTCCTAGGTGGAGGCTTGAGCACGGATGTGGCTGCTACAACCAAAAAAAAAGGCCTGATGACCCATGATGGCCACATTTGTACAAATTGGGAGTGGGATGTGTCTGGTGTGGACAGTTGGCATGTGCTGGCAATTGATGTGGCTTGGTGCACATCGAGGAACGAATTTCTGCTTCTTTTGTTGCGCTTCACCTTTGCTTACCCTCGTTATGAAGCCTGCAAACCTTGATATGGAGCCAGGATCAGGTCGCTTTTGGCGCAGATGGTCGTATAGATATGAACCTTGAGTGGGATACCGTGATAAGAGTGTGGAGCTAATCGCTGGCTTTGGAAGTGATGCTGCATCATACTGGGTGAGCAAATGAAGATTCGCCGACCTGACGACGCGACCACAAGAGACATGCGTGCTGAGGAAATACTGTATATATGGCACAACACTTCAAGTTGGCAAAGTTCGCTCTTTGTTGGAATCCGTACTCGTTCGAATGGTTGGTCAACCCCGGTTTTCTAGAGTGAGTGAGTGGTGGAGACTTGTCGCTTTTGTTATTTTGCTGGGCTTCTACTTATTCATGCTTTGCATAAGTACGTGGTTGCAATTTGGCTCTAGATTCGTTGACAAGGGGGTGAGACATCATATGACTCTCCTTTCTCATCTTTCATGGGGGTTGTATTTGATTTCGTGCTTGGGTTGTCGCAGTGTTTGCAGCCCGTCAGGGGGCGCGTTTTATACCCCTGAGTCAATTTCATAGTTGTTGGCTATACCGGTTGTCCGTTCGGGTCCAAATGGTAGTTGGAAGGGTGGTGAATTTGTTGGGGGGGGGGGACAATTCATGGGGAACGGGCAGTTGTGGCTTGCGGAGGACCGGTAGCTGCCCATAGGAGGCTGAGGAGGCGGTGGTACTTGAGTTGAACATTTCAAAATCGAAACGGTGTGGGTCCACTTTTCTCAAATAGAAGGGCACTTCGAATAGACCGCATACAAGTTGTACTCGAATACAACACGTACCTTTTCTATTCGAATTTCGAAAAGAAAAAACTCTCGTATTCGAATAGAACGTTATCTTGTCTTTTTTTCCCGAGGTTAGCGCCTGCCCTTGTGCTCCCCCGCCACTGACATTCTTCGTGGTGCATGCTGCAGGGCTCTCTCTCTCTCTCTCTCTCTCTCTCTCTCTCTC